TGATAAACATGTGCGTCTCATTGACATACAGGTAAATTAAGATCAGATTTCATATCAAGTCTGTTTACTGCTAGGCGCATTTACCACATTATATAGATTATATACATAAATTTATCACACTAAGAAACCAAAACTTTATAAAAATATAGAACTGGCAGTAGCCAATGTCCAAAACAAATGTAAGCGTAACATTAGACTTGGAAAAGCTTTAGGAATTCGATAAAAATTCGAAGACTCGAGCGAGTTTAAAATTTGTGTTTTGCGCATAGAAAGCGCGCACGACCACAATTCCATGCGCTAAATAAAATTTAGTTCAAAACCCCCTCTCTGCACATATTAGGCTGCTGCTACGCTCGCTCGCTTTAGGCCCCAGATATAAAATAGCTACAGTGAAATACGCAATTTGATTGGTCAATACACGTGAAGGATCGGACAATCCTCCACGGAAAATTTTTGAAATGCTTCGCGCGTGCTTTTCAAAATCAGATCGAACCGATGAAAACATTTTACGTATGAAGTTAACACTATATTAAACGAGATACGGTAGAAGTTAACAAAACAGCGAACGATGGTAAGCTCTGACTACAGAAATGAAAACATTTGATATTCCTTTAGTCCGCAACGTAAATGGAGCCTTCTGATTGGTTGTCGAGAGATCGTTCTGATACCTCCATGTTCTAACCAAGTGCCCTAAAGAAAGGCCGTCACCCCCCTGAAAACATATCAAAATGTAATGTTCCATGGGGGTGAATGCCTCTCACTTCAGGGCACTTGCTAAAAGCAAGATAATGCAGATATTCCAGGTCGACCTAGCCAAAAAAGCGTAAGGCTGCCGCGCCATGGTCTAGTCAGTGAGGTTAATAGAGGTAATAAGCCAATAGAGAAAAATAGCCAAGTAGAATAAAAAAGGAGTTAAAGCAAGTGTATACCTTCTGTCGATGCCTCATTCGTGCATCACTGGGCCGGACGTGGAGATAAAAACCAGTGTTTCCAGCTGTGTAATCGAAAAAGACGTGAAAGTTAATATTTTATAAGTGAGGGTTAGGGTTTGGCTGTTTCGAATCTGATGTTCTATTGAATTTCAAGGTCCCTGTAGCGAAAACGTGAATTTACGCCGGTCTGAAAAATATATTTTTAGAATCTACGGTCCATGGGCTTTCTGTCGATCCCTTACTCGTGCATTAAAAGGCAGTCCATGAAGATACAAAGTAGGTTATTCCAGGTGCATAATCGAAAAAGACGTGAAAGTTAATATTATGCGGTTTCGAACCTTGCGTTCTATTGAATTTCAAGGCCTCTGCAGCAGAAACTGGAATTTGTCACGGTCTCAAAATTGTATTTTTGAAATCCACGGTCCATAAGCTTTCTATCGATGCCTTATTCGTGTATCACTAAACAGTCCATGAAGATAAAAAGCAGGTTATTCCAGGTGCATAATCGAAAAAGACGTGAAAGTTAATATTATGCGGTTTCGATGTTCTATCGAATTACAAGGCCCTTGTAGCAGAGACTTGAATTTGGGCTAGCCTGAAAATTTTATTTCTGGAATCTACTATCAATAAGCCTTCTGTCGATGCCTCATTCGTGCATCACTAGCCCGGACGTGGAGATAAAAAGCAGTTATTTCCAGCTGTGTAATCGAAAAAGACGTGAAAGTTAATATTTTATAAGTGAGGGTTAGGGTTTGGCTGTTTCGAATCTGATGTTCTACTAATTTCAAGGTCCCTGTAGCAGAAACGTGAACTTACGCCGGTCTGAAAATTGTATTTTTAGAATCTACGGTCCATAGGCTTTCTGTCGATACCTTACTCGTGCATCAAAAGACAGTCCATGAAGATACAAAACAGGTTATTCCAGGTGCATAATCGAAAAAGACGTGAAAGTAATATTATGCGGTTTCGAACCTTGCGTTCTATTGAATTTCAAGGCCTTTGCAGCAGAAACTGGAATTTGTCACGGTCTGAAAATTGTATTTTTGAAGTTTACGGTCCATAGCCTTTTTGTCGATGCCTTACTCGTGCATCAAAAGACAGTCCATGAAGATACAAAGTAGGTTATTCCAGGTGCATAATCGAAAAAGACGTGAAAGTTAATATTATGCGGTTTCGAACCTTGCGTTCTATTGAATTTCAAGGCCTCTGCAGCAGAAATTGTAACTTGTCACGGTCTGAAAATTGTATTTTTGAAATCTGCGGTCCATAAGCTTTCTATCGATGCCTTATTCATGTATCACTAAACAGTCCATGAAGATAAAAAGCAGGTTATTCCAGGTGCATAAGCGAAAAAGACGTGAAAGTTAATATTATTAAATATTGGTTAGGGTTAGGGTTAGGAAAAAGGTTAGTATTAGGGTTAGGGTTTAGTTTTTGCGTTAGGATGGTTTTTTGTACGTTACCAAAACCGAAACCTTATCTTTAAGTATTCTATCTAGCGATTTCCCAATTTTCAGACCGTGACAAATTCAAGTTTCCGCTACAGGGGCTTTGAAATTCAATAGAACATAAGGTTTGTAACAGCATAATATTAACTTTCACGTCTTTTTCGATTACACAGTTGGAAAAACCTGCTTTTTAGGTCTACGGACGTCTAGTGATGCACGAGTAAGGCATCGGCGGAAAGCCTATTTACCGTAGATTCCAAAAATATAAAGATTGGCTTCAGCTACAGGGGCCTTGAAATTCAATAGAACATAAGGCTCGAAATGGCATAATATTAATGCATACACTTGTTGATTTTTAGACAACCAGGAATCGATCCTGGGATTCACGCAATAGCAACACTTCGTCCTTACCACTAGACCATCTCGCCTACACTTGCTTTAACTCCTTTTTTTATTCTACTTGGCTAATTTTCGTCTCGGGTGGAATTAATTAACAACTATGCCTGACATTAAAATGCTTTTGACTCAACCAGGAATCGATCCTGGCTTTACGCACTTGCAAACACTTTGCCTTTACCACTATACCATCTCGCCTACACTTGCTTTTACTCCTTTTTTATTCTACTTGGCTAATTTTCGTCTCGGCTGGAATTAATTAACAACTATGCCTGACATTAAAATGCTTTTGACACAACCAGGAATCGATCCTGGCTTTACGCACTTGCAAACACTTTGCCTTTACCACTAGACCATTTCGCCTACACTTGCTTTTACTCCTTTTTTATTCTACTTGGCTAATTTTCGTCTCGGCTGGAATTAATTAACAACTATGCCTGACATTAAAATGCTTTTGGCACAACCAGGAATCGATCCTGGCTTTACGCACTTGCAAACACTTTGCCTTTACCACTAGACCATTTCGCCTACACTTGCTTTAACTTCTTTTTTATTCTCACTTAACTCTTTCTCGTCTCGGGTGGAATTAATTAACAACGATGCCTGACATTAAAATGCTTTTCACACAACCAGGAATCGATCCTAGCTTTACGCACTTGCAATACTTTGTCTTTACCACTAGACCATCTCGCCTACACTTGCTTTAGCTCATTTTTTCCTTGAAATTCAATAGAACATCAGATTCGAAACAGCCAAACCCTAACCCTCACTTATAAAATATTAACTTTCACGTCTTTTTCGATTACACAGCTGGAAAACTGGTTTTTATCTCCACGTCCGGCCCAGTGATGCACGAATGAAGGATTGACAGAAGGCTTATTGATAGTAGATTCCAGAAATACAATTTTCAGGCTTGCCCAAATTCAAGTCTCTGCTACAAGGGCCTTCTAATTCGATAGAACATCAGGTTCGAAACCGCATAATATTAACTTTCACGTCTTTTTCGATTATACACCTGGAATAACCTGCTTTTTATCTTCATGGACTGTCTAGTGATACACGAGTAAGTCATCGATAAAAAGCTTATACACCGTAGATTCCAGAAATGCGTGGTAAATTCATGTCTCTGCTACAGGGGCCTTGAAATTCAATAGAACACAAGGTTCGAAACAGCATAATATGAACTTTCAGGTCTTTTTCGATTATGCACCTGGAAAAAGCTGCTTTTTGTCTCCACTTACGGCCTAGTGATACAAGAATAAGGCATCGATAGAAAGCTCATGGACCGTCGATTCCAGAAATACAATTGTCAGACTGGCCCAAATTCAAATCTCTGCTACAAGGGCCTTGAAATTTGATAGAACATAAGGTTCGAAACAGCATAATATTAACTTTGACGTCTTTTTCGATTACACAGTTGGAAAAACCTGCTTTTTAGGTCAACGGACGTCTAGTGATGCACGAAAAAGGCATGGAGATTGCTAGATAGTATACTTCAAAATAAGGTTTCCGTTTTTATATCAATTTTTTAAATAAGTTAGGGTTAGGTTAGGATTGGGGTTAGGTTAGGTTTAGGGCTGTTTCGAACCGGATGTTCTATAGAATTTCAAGGCCCCTGTAGCGGAAACGTGAATATACGCCAGTCTGAAATTTGTATTTTTGGAATCTACGGTCCATAGGCTTTCTGCCGATGCCTTATTCGTGCATCACTAGACGTACGTAGGCCTAAAAAGCAGGTTTTTCCAGTTGTGTAACCAAAAAAACGTGAAAGTTAATATTATGCTGTTTCAAACCTTATGTTCTATCAAATTTTAAGGCCCTTGTAGCAGAGATTTGAATTTGCGCCAGCCTGAAAATTGCATTTCTGGAATCTACAGTCAATAAGCTTTCTTTCGCTGCCTTACTTGTGCATCACTAGGCCATACGTGGAGATAAAAAGCAGGTGTTTCCAGCTGTGTAATCGAAAAAGGCGTGACCGTTAATATTATGCTATTTCGAACCTTATGTTCTATTGAATTTGAAGGCTCCTCTAGAAGAAACTTGAATTTGGGCCAGTCTGAAAATTGTATTTTTGGAATTCTACGGCCTATGCCGTGCGTTACTAGACTTCCGTGGAGATAAAAAAACAGGTTTTTACAGCTGCATGTCTAATCGAACAAGACGTGACGGTATGATTTCGACACAACCAGGAATCGAACCTAGCTTCTCACACGTGCAACACTTCGTTCTTACCGTTAGACCACATCGCCTACACTTGCTTTAACACCTTTTTTATTCTACTTAACTCTTTCTCGTCTCGGGAGTGAATTACCACCAATGCCTGACATTAAAAGAGTTTTGAATACAGCAGGAATCGAACCTGGCTTAGCACACTTCGTCCTTACCACTAGACCATCTCGTCTACACATGCTTTAAGTTCTTTTTTATTCTACTTAACTCTTTCTTGTCTCGGGTAAAATAGTTTCGACAACAGCAGGGATCGACCCGTACTTCGTCCTCATGCAACACCAGGAGACTACCACTCGACTAGCAGATCTATTCCGTGGTGGTAACTATATTTATATCTACATAATCCCTCATCACCAAATTTTATTTAAAAAAATTAAGTCGCCAAAAATTCATGGCCTGTGCTTTTACTTTTTTTGCACGCAAATGTAGCTCTACTTTAAGTGTCTAAAAATGGACGAACTTTTCTTTTTCCCCATTTCCCCTCTTTTTCAACTTTTATGCCAATCTTTCCACCATTTTTCAAATCATAAAACTGAACTCTTACGAAAACGTAAAATGCCAGCCTTCACTTGCTTTGCCTATCTTTCAAAAAGCGGTATACAGTGGCGACGCGGGGAAGGGGGACAAGGGGGGCAAATACCACCACCCCCCACCCC